GACAGAGTCTCACTTTATTGCCCTCCCTAGAGTCACACAGCTCGCAGCAACTTCCAGCTCCTGGGCTTAAGCAATTCTCTTGCCTCAGTCTCATTCTTTTGCCCTGGGTAGAGTACTGTGTCATCATAGCTCACAGCAACCTCAAACCCTTGGGCTCAAGCAATCAGCTTCAGCCTCCCAAGTGGCTGGGAGGATAGGGGCCCGCCACCACGCCTAGCTGTTTATCTATTTTTAGTAGAAACAGGGTCTCTCTCTTGTTCAGGCTGGTCTTGAAGTCCTGAGCTCAAGAAATCCTCCTGCCTCTGCCTCCCACAGTACTAGGTTTACAGGCATGAGCCACAGTGCCTGGCCCATTCACCAAAGGTCTTCTTAATCATGTAAGGACACTTGGACTCCATCCTGAGGCCTGGGGAGTCATGGAAGGGTTTTTTAGTTGACACTCTGGGCAGTAAAGGATTAACCTTACCTAAAGAGGCTGGGTGCCTATAGCCCAGAGGCTAGGGAGCTGGTGGATTTGAACCCAGCAGGGGCCTGCCAAACAATAGTGATACTGTAACCAAAAAATAGCCAGGCATTGTGACTGAGTCCCAGCTACTTGGGAGGCTGAGGCAAGAGAATGGCTTAAGCCCAAGAGTTGGAGGTTGCTGTGAGCTGTGACACCACAGCACTCTACCCAGGGTAACATAGTGAGACTCTATCTAAAAACAAAACAAAAAAGAAAACCTTGCCTAATGAGAGGTCCAGCCTTTGCCCTTGGTTCCTGAACAGTGATCTCTAAGCCCTTGGAATGTCTTTGCTGAAGAGTATCTTTGGTTTACCTGGAGTTTATGTGGAGGAAGTGTTGAGCCACACCATAGACGCCAGGTAGTCTATGCTAACATTGTGATTTATGGTGGGGACTTTGGGCCACACAGTGTCAGCTCAACCTCAAAAAGGGAGCTCAACCTGCAGTCAGACACATGGGCAGTCAACTATGTTGGCTTAACTGAGCCCCAATAAAAACTCTAGACCGGCTCGGCGCCTATAGCTCAACCGGCTAAGGCGCCAGCCAC